CGGTACAGCCCGGCGCTGTGCATTGACCTTGTGGTCTTCAACCTTGCAAAGCTTACTTACTCATTCTGGTATCATTTTGCATATTCCTTGGGCCTTTCTGTGTATATGATCACGTTGTCTGTGAATAAAGACACTTTTACTTCTTCCATTCCAATTGGGATGTCTTCTGTTTTTTCCTTGCCTTATTGCATCATCCAGGACCTTCAGCAATAGAGGATTCTAGATAGCAGCCAATGGTCTGGGTTTGAAACTCCACTTTGTCATTCACTGGCTGTGTGACCTTGAGCAAGACAATTAACATCTTTGTCCCCTGGATTCCTCACATGGAAAGTGACACGGTACGTTCCTAAGGATGTCTTAATGATTAAATGGGATAATGTACATAAATGAATAAAGCACATGGCTCGGTGCCTGGCACATGGTAAGTGCTCAATAAATGGGAGGCATTGTTAATACAAGGATGCCTTTGGTGGACAAGAAAGATTGTAAGTGTTCCTACCATCCACCCCACTGGGCATCCCCAGAGGGCAACTGAGGCAGCTGTTTAACCCCCCTTCCCCCAGTCTTTTCTGAAACCCACTTCCTTGGATGTCCTGAACCAGAGGAACAGATATCCTGAGCTTTCAGCTTCCTTCCTGCCTCGGAGCTGGCCTGCTGGGATGTGTGTCTGTGTGTGGGTGGGGAAAGGTAAGGACAGTGGCTGGTTAGTTGCCGAGCTTGACTGCTTCCTCACGACACGGCTGCCTCGGGGCAGTCAGACTTCTTACATGTCAGCTCAGGGATCCGAAGACAAGCGTTTCAATAGAACCAGGTGGAATTTGCATGGTCTGTTCTGACCTAGCGTTGGAAGTCATGCAGAGGCACTTCTGACATACGCTGTGTATCCAAGCAGTCACAAGCCTGTCCGGATGCAAGGGAGGGGGATGCACAGACCCCACTTCTCAACTGGAGAAATATGAAAATATTTGTGAACATGTTTAAAAATGACCGTAGATGTTAAGACTATTTTTAATGTTTTTGGGAGAAGCAATACTTTGATGGGCCTCCTTAGGCAGAAATCTTTGTGCACATCTCTGCTTAGAAAGTTTATGTGGCTACTTTTATCATTTTAATGGAACACAAGGTGAAGCCAGTGGGTAGATAAGGATTTGGCCAAGAGTTCCAGGCCAGGGAGTCCCTGCTGCCTCTATTTTCATGTTTTTCAAGATTTCCTTGCCAGTTACTTTCTCTTGGAGTTCCCCTGTTCACCACCGCAACTCCCAAGGGCCCATGGTTCCCTCGCTTCAAGGCTCACTCAAATGCCACCTGTCAGGTAGGCTTTTCTGTCTCCCCGCCCCCGTCTTTGAACACTTGTAGCACCTTGACACTGGGACAGCAAATGGCCTAGCTCTGTGAACCCACAACACATACTTGGTGCCCAGCCAATGCATATTGAGTAAGTTCATTCATTAATTCAACAGATACTTAGTCAGAACTGTTTTAAGGGTACTAGGATTTGTTTTAAGCAGGTATTGTAAGACATGCCGACACGGAAATGACTCTCATAAAGAAAGAACTTTGTTATACTCGCAGTTTCCTCGAAGCAGGAGGCACTAGGGTGGGTCAGAGGCAGAAGGAGTGAGGGGAGAACTGGGCAGGATCCTTTATTGTGGTTTCCATGGGACAGGAAGAGTGAGGCAGAGTAAGCAGTTTGAGATTGCTTAGCCTGAATAAGTTCTGCGTGCTCTGGGACACAGGGGCTGTACCTAGTTGTCTGGTACCTGGCTCTGGGTGACTGGGGCAGGTGGATAGTGGCCCTGAGTGGCAGAGCATAACAAAGAAGGCGTTTGGGGGTGTGTGCTCAGGATTGGCGGTTTGCATTTGAAAGGCACGGCTCCTGGGTGAGTTATTCACTATGTCTAGAATTGGTTAATCCAACCCTGGGTTGGGCAGTCCCTCCAGGGTGAGCAAGGCCCCAGATGTTAACACATCAGAGTACAGAATATCAAAGACATTGTTGATACAAGGGCCTACTATGTATCAAGCACAGTTCTAGCAACTGGGCAGTGAACAAAATAGAGTCTGGGTTTTTGTGGGGCTCAAATCCTCAAATATTTCAACAAATATTTTATGGCTGCCCTATATGCGCCAGACCTGGTTCTAAGCACTGATGCACATAGAACAGAACAGATAAAGTCGCTGTTCTCAGAGCACTCACGTCCTAGTGGGGGAAGTCTGCAATAAACAAAGGGAACATTCAGTCACAAGAAATAAAACAAGATCAAGTGATAAAAACGGCACTGGGGATCAGGCGCGGTGGCTCATGCCTATAATCCTAGCACTCTGGGAGGTCGAGGCGGGAGGATCGCTTGAGGTAAGGAGTTCGAGACCAGCCTGAGCAAAAGCAAGACACTGTATCTACTAAAAATAGAAAAAATTAGCTGGGCATGGTGGTGTGTGCCTGTAGTCCAAGCTACTTGGGAGGCTGAGGCAGGAGGATCGCCTGAGCCCAGGAGTTTGAGGTTGCTGTGAGCTAGGCTGACGCCATGGCACTCTAGTCCGGGCGAGAGAGCGAGACCCTGTATCAAAAAAGAAAAGGGACTGGAGATAAGATAACCAGGGAAGTCTTCTCTGAGGAGGTGGTATTTGAGCGAGACATGAGCAAAGAGAAGGAGCCAGCCACACAAAGACCTGGCAGAAGAGAATTCCAGGTAGAAAGGGCCCAAAGCAAACCATCTGGGCTAGTGATGAGCTTGGTGTTCGTGGAACCAAGGCGAGGCCAGTGGGTCTGGCTGCAGTGTAATGGGTAACACGGTGGGTTAGGAAGACAGTGTGGTCAGAGATAGGCAGGGCTCATGATAATGAATTTGGATTTTATTCTTAGTGTAAAGAGAAGCTGCCAAAAGTGTTTAAGGAAGGAAGTGATTTAATCTGATCAGTTTTAAAAAGCTCCCCCTGGCTGCTGCATGGACACCGGATGGTAGGAGGGGCAAATACAGAATTAGGGAGACAAGCTAGGAGGTTATTACAGTCGCCCCGGTAGAAATGACATTGATCAGCCTGGGGCGGTGGTTGTAGAGATGCACAGACGTGGGGGAATCAGCAAGTGTTAGCCCTGATTGGCCACTGAAATCACACAGGGAATTAAAGCACACATTCACCCTTCCTTTGCAGAACCTCACTGCCTAAATCCGAGCTCAGGAATTTATATTTTTAACAAGCCCACGGGATGTGCAGCTCTGTTTCCAGGTGCCCACGTGTGTGGGTGTGGCGAAGAGGCCAGTGTGATGCCGAAAGGAGCCCCGGGTGGCAGTCTGCAGGCTTGGAGCCTAGTCCCAGAGGCAGATCTGTTTTGGGGACTCAGTGGTCCCAAATGACTGTCGGGGACAGCAATGCCTACCTCCAAGATGGGCTAAAAGAAACGAATAAATAACATAAAGCTTGTAAAGCACTCAGCAAAGGACCAGCAAAGCACTCAGGAAATGTTTGGGGAACGGTGAAGGCTCTGGGGTAAAGCACATGCAGTTGTAACAAACACTGGCCTTGCGGCCATCTGCTATGTGAATTCTAGTCCTTTTTGAGCCTCAGTTTCCTCCTCTACAGATAGGTATCTGCAATGCCAACCTTGTGGGAGGCTCTGTGAAGGTAAGGCTGTGGCAATGGGCTGGGTTAAAGTTGTGTCCATCCCTCCTGGGATGAAACTGGGTGATGTCAGGACTATACCCCTTGGTCAAGGGACACTCCCTGGGCCTTGCTCCCTAGCTGTCTGGACTATGCTAGCTCAAAGGACATCATCGCCCTCTTATGGCTGCAGCCCGACTCAATAGTTGTGCCGTTGTTGCACTTTTTTGGCTCTAGCCAGGCTAGGAGGAGGATTAGGGTTTGGCCCGCCCACTTACCCATGACCAGTGGGGCACTAGCATTTATGTCATCGACTGCCTGGCAGGGTTGGCTTTCTTGAAAGGCGTAGTCCTGAGCCTTAAGTGAAAGAAATGCTGTCTTTCTGAAGATTTATAAAACAATTGGCCTGATGGATCTTCAGAAGGCAGCGGACTTGATTTATTGACCACAACGTGGGTGGATGATGCAAGTTATTTCATTTAAGCCTCTTCAGAGTCCCTGTGCGTGGCGAATTATCATCTCCAATTCCCTGGGGTTGAAACGGAGTTTGTTGTGAATGCCATAAACTATGCAGGGCAAGGGGAGGGAGAGGGTAGTAGGAGGCCGGGAGAAAGGACAAGGGAAACGCTCCTATTAAACAGAGCCGCGGAAAAAGCCACATAGACATCTTACGTATCCACCGCTGAGTCCTTATATCAGCGCCTGGCACGCAGAGAGCACCCAATTGGCGGTATGAGTAAACGCAAGCGAAGATCTTTGTATTATGTGTGCATTTGCCTCCCCACAAAATATATCTGTCTTGCAAGGTTTGATCTGTTTTCTTAGAGGCTTTCTCATTTTTTCCAAAGAAATATTAGAGTAAATCAGAGCCAAAAGAGGTCTTTACTAAAGAACAGAACCAAGTGAGTAGTATCTGGAGCACCCACAGGGCGGCAGCAATGTAGAATACTGGAGCTACTAGGAACGGTACGAAAAGGGGCTCTTCTTTCTGTTCTAGTGTTTTCTGTAGATCTTACCTCCTAATCCTCCTGAGCTCTCTCATACAAAGTATCAGATTTTAGCTGCTTAGAGTTGGACAGAAACTCAGAGGTCCATTCCTCAATGATTTCTAACCCTGGTAAACAACAATTTGGATGACGAGTACGAGATAGTTTTAGTAAAAAGTCATACACTACACAATGGAAGATTTTTTTATTGCACAGATTCTTCCTTGCCAATAGTAAACATGGCTACCCGGTTCCTTCCTTTCCTTCAGGTTAACCTAATGGTTGCCAATAGTCAACATGGCCGCCACACCGTGCGTTCCTGTTGGCGGCTGCTCTGAAGTCCCGCCCCGCCCCGCCCCTCCGAGTGCGACTGGGAGTTACGAAGCCGGATATTGCGGCTCCCTGCCTAGCTGCGCCTGCGCAAGCCATTGGCGGCAAGATGGCGATGGAGATGAGGCTTCCAGTTGCTCGAAAGCGTCTTAGCGAGACCCTGGGCCGCGAGTCTAAGAAACACCTGGTGGTGCCGGGGGACACGATCACTACGGACACTGGTTTCATGCGGTACGTGGGGACTTGGGGGGCCACAGGGCCGCAGAGAGCGGCTGCAGGTCTCTCTGCACGTGGTCTGCTGGCCCGAAACCCGAACTTTGGCTCCTTGCTTTTAACTCCCCGCGGGACCCAGGTCTCATCCCTTGAGCATCCCAATCGCCTCGTTTCTGAGCATCGTGCTTTTTACTCCCTGCATCTTGCGTCCCCGTCTGCGTTTGTCTCAACCCCCTAAAGCCCTCCTCTCTTGACCTCTGGTGGCCATGACTTTTGGGTCCTCTGCCTGAAGCCCAGATCTTTGCACCTTCTTTGTTGAAAACCTGGAAAACGGGAGGGTTAGGAGTAGGGGTCTCTCCCGTTTTCAGCTAAGGGGGCAGTGGGTGTCCCTGACTTGGCTTCCCGATTCTCCCTCAGCGTCATCTCCCAGCTAGGGGCTCGGTTTTGGAAGCAGTAAGTGATTGGGCTTAGGGCAAACATATATTGTGCTACATGCACCGAATTATACAAACTTTAAATCTAAGGGCAGTACGGTGTGTTGTAGTTTAGAGGGCAGGCTCTTGAGTCAGACATTCGGGGTTCCAGTTCTGCCACCATCACATCTTATTAGCTGTATTACCTCTCTAAGGTCAGTTTCCTCATCTGAAAGACAGTGATGATAATATTTGATAGGATATTGAGGATTAAATGAAATAATAGTATAAGAAAAGAAGCAGAATCCTCCATTATATCACCATCATGGATAAATGCTAGTGGTATTTCAGACTTTTTTTTCTTTTTTTTTTTGGTACACATGTACTACATATACGGGTTACAGCATTTACAGCATTACCCTTTAATCTCCTTAAAGATTATTGGATCCTAGGAAATCTTAAGATTCATTCATGCTTTCAATATATATTCTGTGCAGTTGAGGTATAACAGTGAACAAAGTGAAAATCTCTGTCCTGGTGGAGTTCTAACAGGGAGAGACAGATAATAAACAATAAATGCAACAGATAAGTTATACCAAACGTTAGGCAATAAATGCAATGGGAAAGAAAGTGGAGCAGGTTAAGTGGAATGTGGTTGGGAATATGGTGGAAGTGTTGGCAGTGGGGAGGGATACTGTTTTGAAGTAGGGTAGTCTAGGTAGGCCCACTGGAGAATGTGACGTCTGAGCAGACTTGAGTAACATGAGAGAGATATCCATGCAGCTCTCTGGAGAAGGAATGTTCCAGGCAGAGAGAGCAGCCAGCACAAAAGCCAGGATTTATGGCAGGAGGAGCCTGTTAGGTTTGAGGAACTCATTGTTCTTGACAGGAGAGGTCATCTCAAGTGTTACACTGGTATCCTGTCTTTGTATCTTCATCTTGCAACAGAGGCCATGGGACATATATGGGGGAAGAGAAACTCATTGCATCCGTGGCTGGCTCTGTGGAGAGAGTAAACAAGTTGATCTGTGTGAAAGCTTTGAAAACAAGGTGAGAACAAAGGTGTGTATTCTCTTTCTTGCAGCCTCCATGCTGTACAACGAGGTCTTTTCTGCCTCCTTTTACCTCCCACCCCCACCCCCACCCCTGCCTGCCTGATCACGCTGTAGGTCTGTGATTTTGAACATGACTATAGAAAGAGTAGTATAGATCAGTGTGGGCTTCAAAGGTTTCCCCATGTTACTTGACCTCTCCAAGCCTTGGTTACCTCCTCTGCAAGTGAGAATAATAGCACGGCCTGCCTCATAGGATTTTCATTAGAATTCAGTGAGATGGTGCATGTAGAGCACTTAGTACAGGGCCTGATACCTAGAAGTGTTCAATAAAGGTTAGTCCCAGAAAGGAAGCCAGCGGGGTTGGAACAGAATGTGTGAGGGGGAAAGAGCGAGCAGATACAGGCAGAGAGCTGAGGTGGGCGGATGGTTGGCCTGCCTTGTAGCTATGATAAGCATTTTGGATTCCACTTTGTGTAATCTGGGAAGCCACTGGAAGGGGTGGAGCAGAGGAGGGACATGATCTGACTTAGGTTTTTTTTTTTTTTTTTTTTTGAGACAGAGTCTTGCTTTGTTGCCCAGGCTAGAGTGAGTGCCGTGGCGTCAGCCTAGCTCACAGCAACCTCAAACTCCTGGGCTCAAGCAATCCTCCTGCCTCAGCCTCCCAAGTAGCTGGGACTACAGGCATGCGCCACCATGCCCGGCTAATTTTTTCTATACATATATATTTTTAGTTGTCCAGATCATTTCTTTCTATTTTTTAGTAGAGACGGGGTCTTGCTCTTGCTCAGGCTGGTCTCGAACTCCTGACCTTGAGCGATCCACCCACCTCGGACTCCCAGAGTGCTAGGATTACAGGCGTGAGCCACTGCGCCTGGCCCTGACTTAGGTTTTAATAAAATCACTCTGGCTGCTGTGGGACCATATTCATCATCTGAAGTCATGGTAGCTTGGGTTAAGGTGACAGCAGTGAAAGTGGGGAGGAGTGATTAGAATCTGCATAGATTTTGTTTTCTGAATGTTTTCCTCATGAAAGGATGTTGGATTTTGTATTCTTTGTGTTTTTCTATATACAGGACCCTGTCACCTGAGATAGTTTTACTTCTTCCTTTCCAATTAGATGCCTTTTATTTCCTGCATATATTTTAAGGGTAGAGCCAGCAGGATTTGCTGCTGGACTTGTCCTGGAGCATGAGAGAGAGAAAGAGAGAGAGATCAAGGGTAGCTCCAAGGGGGAATGGAGTCACCATTTACTGAGGGGATGGGTTGTCCCCTATCTCAATATGCTATGGAGGAAGGGTGGGGGTTGCTGGAAAGCTTAATTTTGGGCTTGTTACATTTGAAAATGCTTATTAGTCATCTAAGTGGTGATGTTGGGTAGCTAGCAGTTGAACCTGGAATTCAAGGGAGTGATGCAGTCATCAGTGGTGTTTTAAAGCCATTAGATTGGATGAGCTCACCAAGAGGTGAGTGTGGGTGGAAAAGCGAAGAGGTCCAAGTACTGAGCCTCAGCATCAAATGCTTCGTCACTAGAATCGGGGATGAGGAACTCGCAGAGAGGGTTGAGACGGGCAGGCAGTGGGTGGGGAGACAGATAGCAAGTAGACGGGTCTGGGTGGTGTCCCATCTCAGAATGTCCTTTCTCTTTTGGCTGGTGCAGAACTCATCCATGTTCTATAGGAAAATACTCCATGCTTCTCATTGTCACGTAATCGAACAAAATGGGGATTTGGGGCAAAACGAACTACTTGGAATAATGATTTGTTTAAGGATAGTTAATGGAGACTTTATACACAGAGGAATGTTTGAAGTTAACAATTTCTAAAAATAAGTCCAAACAGTATAGTTACATGAATTTGCTAAAGGTGGTGCCTAATCAAGGCCCTTATCCTGTTTAACTGAAATCTCAGATGTGCTTGGTCTTGTAAGAAAGTCTGTTCACTGATGGATGACCTTTTGTTTTATCTTTCAGATATAATGGTGAAGTGGGAGACATTGTAGTGGGGAGAATCACAGAGGTAAAGTTGGTATCTGATGGGTGTTTACAAAGTAAAGGCAAGCTGGTGATTTAATGAATGGGATAGTCATTCTATATGTAGTTACATGAAAAAGGCATTCATTGCACTTGGCTATTGCGTGACCTCTGATGTAAACATTTGGCTTGTTACATTTGAGATTACCGGTCACTTATGATGTGAGCTCTTGCCCCCGAAGCATGTGTCCAGGTGTGGAAATTCTTTGGTTTGTAGGTTCAACAAAAGAGGTGGAAGGTGGAGACCAACTCCAGGCTGGATTCAGTCTTGCTTCTCTCGTCCATGAACCTCCCTGGAGGAGAGCTGGTAAGGGCTCCAGCTGGGCCCTGGATTAGGGCCAGTTGGCTAAGGGGACCTATCCTTTGCTCTATGAGAGAACTTTGCTTTATGCTAACGTTGCCCCTTTTACTCCTATTCGTTTGCTGTGAAGTGTGCTGTCGGGACGTATACGTAGACTTTTCACCTGGCCCAGGTGTCCCCAAATAGGCAGCAATTGTCATACGGTAAGATCAGAAACATCCACGGGATGGCATCCCAAAAGAGAGTTGGGCAGAGAAACTCTTAGATGCTTGGTGCTAAAAATTTTCCTTTTCTGGATGTATCAGCTTTGCACAGTGAAGATGTTCCTTGAACATTTTTTTTTATATCAGTTTTTCATGACTTGAAAGACATCTGGTTATTCCAGACAACCGCAGTAACTAAGCCACAGCCTTCTGTAAAATACCATGGTTCACCTTTATCTTCAGCCAGCATATATTTACAGAGAGGCTCACTGTGCTGGTTCTGTGGAGAATGCCAAGCACGACTGAGTTCCCTCGCAGGGGATATGAGATAACGGATCCAAAACCTGCTGGTAGGAGAATAAACAAGCGTGTGGTTGTACAAAAGGAGTGATTAATTTCAGAGAAGCTCATAGGAAAGACTGGCATTGGGGTTGATCCTGGAAGGATGGAGAGGATTCAAATGACGAATTCAGGGAGTTTGAGATGCAGGGAAGTGTGTGAGCAGAGACATGGCTGAGCAGGGGGTAGTCTGGTCCTGCTGGGACACACGGCTGTCATGGAAGGTGAGTGTGGAAAAGTTGGCTGGCGGAGATTGGGAGAGTTTGAAAGTTACTCAGAGGAGGGAGGGAAAAAGGACGGAGAGAGGGAGCTGTGGAAAGTCTCCCCCAGATGGAGAGTGGTGATCTGCCGACTCTTCCCATGGTTCTGAGTGCTTGAATATTGTGGTTGGCTTCAAAGACCTCAAAAGGAAGTGAAAGGGAAAGAAGCAATGGAGAGAGATCTTTCTGAGGCTCTGGCTTAAGTAATGTGGTCATCTTTGTGTATTTCAGAGGAGAAGATCTGCAGAAGATGAGCTTGCAATGAGAGGCTTCTTACAGGAAGGGGACCTTATCAGTGTATCCTGCACTTCGCATTCTAGCCTTTGATGCTTTTCAGTGGGCTGGGAAATGGGCCTGACAGGGGAGTCCTTGCAGGGACCTGAGTCTTAGATCAAGTGTCACGGCTGCAGCAGAGCCTTTCTCTGTGTCCTTAACTCAGATCGACTCTCCAGCTCTTGTTCAGACCTGCTGCCAAGTCATTTCTTTGGGTCTTGTAACTTACGGTGGCCTGTGCTTTAGGTTAGACTCAAGTTTTCCTAATGATGTTAACTTTTATATTAGGGAGTAGAAAAGGTGTTGTTCATATTGAGATATTCATGACAACCAAGGGGGGAGGCGAGGTCACAGTGGTGTCCTCTGAGTCTGTTTAGATGTCTAAGGTCGTTGAGCTGGACTGTTGGAGATGGGAGGAAAAAATGGGGGTGTGGGGTCAGGGGCTGGGGGACACGGGCTGGGGGACACAGGAGACATGAGAGTGGGTGGCTCAGGCTGCTGTTTGTGCCTTCACCACCCTGGCCAGGCTGAGGTCCAGGCAGTGTTCTCTGACGGAGCTGTCTCTCTGCACACAAGGAGCCTGAAATACGGAAAAGTAAGTTGGCTGTTGATGTTGCTGTTTGCTGACTGAGACCTCAAGTCCATTTCTAAATCCCCAGTTCTCTGGAATTCTGACCTCAAGAACCCCAGTAGTTGAGCGCTAACAATGACTGGCGTCACACCAACTGAGCGTTCTCTGAACTGAACAGAAGGAAGGTTGGGATTCACATGGTCATGGGTCAGTAGCGCTGTAAAGGACAACTTTTATCCTTTTTCTCCTGAGGAGACTTCTGGAGGGAGAGCCCCTCTGACCCCGGGCTCTGAGGTGCTGCTGTCTCTGTCCCCTTCAGGGGGCGCTGCAGCTCAGTGCTGGGGCCATAGCTGAGAGGCCATCCCTGGAACCGAGGGAGGCCGGGGCCTGATGAAACAGGCCCTTAGACGAACACCCACTCAATTAAATGGATGTTACTGCTGGCAAAGATTGCTTTGTCCTGTAAGATTCTAAATATAATTTCACTGCTTCGCTTGTATCAGGTTACATTATAGAGGCTATGTTTTTTTAGAGGACGGCACACTTTCTAAAACAATTTAGGATTCATTAGTCTCTCAGCTTTACCAGGGTGAACCTTTTCATTTTCTGAATGGAACAAAAACCTCTTCCCTTGATGGAGTGGCTGCAGCCACCACGTTCGTGTGCGTGAAGTACAGGGACGTCGTGCTGCTGCTGGCCTTCACGGGCCTGAGTGCTGCAGACCCTCCCTCAGCAGGAGGTGGACTGTGGGTTTGTACCCAGCTCTGGCCCATCCCCTTACCTACCCTACCCAGTGGCACCCATCTCATGGGCAGGATAGGAGTTTGATGTTTGGGTATGAGTAAGGTGATGGAATAGGACAGTGGTCCTTGACCAACGGGAGGCTCGAGCTCACGTCCTCACGTCCTCATTGGCTCCAGCATCTCTCACAGCCAACCCTAGCTTAGAATGTAGGGGCACTCACCAAGGTCCATGATAGAAGAGTACCGAAAGCCATATTTCACTGGGATGTATAAACAGCCTATGAGTCCAGAAGTGTGCTCTGCAAAAATGCATACTATGCATGTGCACACAGGTGACAGCAATTATTAATAGGAAGGACACTGATTTGAATATAACCAGGATATATATATATTCTGTAATCTACTTTTCATTCATCTCACTGATGATCTTACAGTGACCTGATTTATGTATTTCTTTAGCTAGGGCAGGGTGTTTTGGTCCAGGTTTCTCCCTCCCTGGTGAAACGGCAGAAGACCCACTTCCATGACTTGCCATGTGGCGCCTCGGTGATTCTGGGTAACAACGGCTTCATATGGATCTACCCGACGCCTGAACACAAAGAAGAGGATGCAGGGGGCTTCATTGCAAACCTGGAGGTGAGTAAACACCGTTGCCACTGTTGGTGGGATGGAGCAGCACTTGGTCTCTGCTGTGTTTTTGTGGCAGGTGGAGTTCATTGTTTGTTAACTGTGTTATTGCTGTAGTATGAGTTAGTTTGAATTTCCGTGAAGGTGTGCTCATGAACACTGTATTGCCTTCTCTTTTCTAAAGCGATGAACTCAGTGACTGGTTTGAGTTTTGTTGGCAGAGACGAAGTTGCAAGGTAATAGCCCCAGAGCCGCTGAAGCAACCATCCTTTTTCATCTCCCTTGGAGTTAGCTGTTTGGTTGATTTGGAGTCCCCGAGTGATATTATCTGAGTCATAAATGATTTCTTTTCAGTGATTTACTGGGACCATTCACCTATTTTGGTCCTGCTTTTATATCTCTTCCCTCCGCCTTTGCTCCCCCTCCTAGCCTGTCTCCCTTGCTGATCGAGAGGTGATATCCCGGCTTCGGAACTGCATCATCTCGCTGGTAACCCAGAGGATGATGCTGTATGATACCAGTATCCTGTATTGCTACGAAGCATCCCTTCCACATCAGGTACTTGACCCAGGGCTTCCCTTCCCTCACTGATGTGTGAGCCGCGGTTTGCTCAGAGACAGCAGGCATGTCGCCCAAGTCCTTTCGTTACCATGCCCATCGGTGTGAACTGGCCTACAGGACGGCCTTCATCAGTGTCTGCTAGATCTTTCCCCCAAATACGTGCAGTATTGTCAGTGTCTAGTGTCAATTGCAGGATTTGGTGGGGGATGGAGGAGTCAGGTGGGACAAGTTTATGATGTAATCCTCTGGGCTTCATCTTGCCCATCCCAAATTTCAGCTGTCTTTTGGATGAATGGCAGAATGATATCTTTGTTCTCATCAGCTGTATCCCAGAGAATCTTGCTGATTTGTTAAACTGGGTCTAGCAGATTGTGTTTTGCAGCACTTAGCCTCTGATACATGAAAGGAATACAAAAGGCTTTTGGTGAAGACACTTGGTTTCTATATTTGGGTTGGCTTGGTGGTCTGCTTATGGTTGGTTTCTTTTTTGAACAAACCCTTTTTTCCTTTCTTTTTCAGATCAAAGACATCTTAAAGCCAGAAATAATGGAGGAAATTGTGATGGAAACACGCCAGAGGCTTTTAGAACAGGAAGGATAAGGAGATACTCCTGGATAGGACTGGGCATACCTCACTGGAGTAAAGAATCCAATGTTTGCTCAGTGAAGACAGCTGTGTGGCTGCTGCCAGCCCACGGACCTGCTTTCTCCTGTCCTAAGATAAAGCCTGAGTGGAAGGTGAACAGTGCCCCCAGCCCCTGGGGTTGCCGGCTGATGCCAGCACAGGGGGGTAGTTTCAGGTCTTTGAAAGTGCACGGTGTTCCAGCTAAATGGATCCCCATCCTGGAATAATATGGAGAAGACTTTGTCTTCCCCTCACCACCATTCACAAGGCACAGTGCCCCATGAAATTGCCTTGGTAGGAAGTACGGCATCCCTGGCCTGCAGATGGTCTGTTTTGGCCTCCATTCCCACCTCACTCAAAGCACAAGTATGACAGTGAAGAATACAGTTGGTAAAGTTAGCCCAGCAGTCAAGTGGAAGAATAAAGTTAACCAAGCAGCCTTTTGCTTGGTTGGAATCCAGTTTTTCACTTCATATTCCTTTTAGCAATAGGTGTATGTCCACACCAGGCTGCCTTTATTTATTTCTTTATTTATCTTTGGCTGCCTTTATCTGTCCTGCCATGGAGTGTGACTTGTAAGAAGCTGAATTATCAATAATAGAATGAATGTTCTGGGTCCATGTACTTTTGGATGCTCTGATAAACGAGTAAAAACAAAGAAAATGGAGATGGGAAAAGCAAAGCTGTTTTCCTCCTATAACTGAAGTAGTGATGCATTAACTATTGAATAATTCAGGGTTAAAAGATAAAAAGATACTGAAGCTCTCACTGAGGAATGTTAGAATTCCTGTGCATTGCATTGACTGTCTAAAAGTGGTGCCTTGATTTAGGTTTTGGGAAACATTCTTTTTTAAGGGCACTACATGCAAGTGCTGTTTTATTTCACATACGTGGCGCACTCATTTTGGTATATATAAACGTGTTATTAGTTTCTGTTCTTGGGTTCTGGGAGCTGAGTACAGTTGAAGGAGGGCTCAGGAGATATAAATGCCTCTGACAGTGGTCCTAACTACTTGAGGCACCCAGTAAAATGTAAACCTAGGACAGTTTCAATAGTAATAACTGAACACCGCATTTGAAGTTCTGAAATACATCTTGACTCTTTTTCATTAAATGCTGTTTCTTTTTATAAAATTACTCAGTAGACAACTTTTTAATCTTTTTTTCTATCTCAAGTTGTAGCACCTGTTTTGAGGATATTTTTCTATCTCAAGTTGTAACACGTGTTTTGAGGAGTTTGCAAACAATTGAATATTCCACAGGCTATGTTGCACCTGTAGATTTGTTCACTTGTTACACTTTTGAGAAAATTTTCCAGGCTGTTTGCCTCTTGAGAGAAGAGAATAGGGAAGAATGGAAGTCTGAGTCCTAGGTTTGGTTTTAACCAGGGCTGTATGTAAACTTGTTTACCCTCATTGCTCTCTCCCAAGCTGCCAGCCTGTGCTGTTCATCAGTATCTGCTTTATGGTGATTACCTACCAAGTGGAAATAATTTAAAGGTCTGGAAGCACCTTTTGGTTGTCTACTTTCAGCGGCCCACTAGAGGGCGCCCTTGTTAAATGTAATTCTAATAGATGTTTTAAGAAATGTGTTAATAGTAAGCTGAAATCTTTACACTGGTACTGAATCCCTTTAGCAACTTGGTGGATTGCTTTGCTTTATAAAAGTTAGGACAAAATTAGACTGGAACTGAATCACTTTTAATGAAACTATATGAGCTTAAAGGGACTTATTCAATATTTGGCAGTATTTATTTAAGACTCAGGCATTTGCTGGGCTTTGGATTCTAATTTTTAAGTCCTTAGAAGTATCATTCTACAGTGTTATACAGGGACTAAAAAAAACAGTGCATCTCTAGAAAAAATTTTACAGTCTCAGCATGGGGCTCACCTAAAACTAGAGAATGGTGGAAATGGAAAGCAGAGATTAGCGACAAGCCTTGTGCAGTTGACGTCCGCAGTCACTACCGCGGAGCACAGTCTCAAGCTTTGGGGACACCAACCACAGTCTAGTTTGATCCTCATGGTAACTTGCACACCTCATGCACCTCTAGGTGAAGAAATCAAAGAATTAATGTGACTTGATTAAGTGCTTGAATCAGGAATATCTTTAGAGAGTTGTCATAAAGCAGTCCTTTAGAGCTGTGGTCCCCAAACCCCAGACTGGAGAGGACCACAATGCGGCTTGTTGCCGACCCTCCCACTCCCGCTGCCCGCGGGAGGCTTCATGTATGTTTGCAGCTGCCCCCATTGCTGGCATCACCACCTGAGCTCCACCTCCTGTCAGATCAGCGGAGCGATAGATTCTCAGGTGCAGGAACCCTGCTGCTGACACTGCATGCAGGGATCTAGGTGGCTGCTCCTTGTGAGAGTGGTGCCTGATGATCTGGGGTGGAGTTGGGGCTGGGGAGTGGCTGCAGTGAAGATTGTCATTGGTAGAGAGGTGACTGCACCATAAATGTGCGCTTGGGTCATCCCTGGACCACGGCCGCCCTCCACCCCCAGTCCATGGGAAATTTGTCTTCCATGAAGCCAGTCCCTGGTGCCAGAAAGGTTGGGGACCGCAGCTTTAGAGGATGGGTTGGACTGATCTCGAAAGGTATGGATCCAGAAATCTAATTTCCAGGCTTGAGACTGATCTTTGTTTGGATTGTTGCTTATTTTGTTATTGCCTGTCCCTGCATGGATGCTCCATGAGAATAAGGATGAGTTTTTTTTCTTCACTGCTGTATCTCTGTACCTAGAACAGTGCTTGGCACAGGTGCTCAATAAATGCTTGTTAAATGAATTGTTAGTTCAAGAAATGTGTATTGGACGGAGGCCGGTGCTCACGGGACTGTGGAGGGCGAGGTGACCCTGGGCCGCCGCCGCGATGGGCCACGAGTTTGGGAACCTGACGTAGATGCGCCATGTGATCACCTACATACAGCTTGTCCCCCTTCCAGCAGTGCGCCTTCCCGCACTACTTCTCCAAGGGGATCCCCAACGTGTTGCGCCGCATTCGGGCGTCTGCCCTGCGTGTGGCGCCGCCATTCGTGGTGTTTTATCTTGTCTACACATGGGGGACCGAGGAGTTCGAGAAATCCAAGAGGAAGAATCCAGCTGCCTACGAAAATGACAAGTGGATGGTGGCTCCCCGTCCCTGAAACTGGGAGGGTCCTTCTCTGGGAGAGGAGTCTGCATTGTGGTGTCTTGAAGATGCAATAAACTTGCATGGGCAAAAAAAAAGAAAAGTGTATTAGGGAGAGTTCTGATTTGATTGCCCAATTTTAAGCCAAACTAGAGAATGAATGAAGATGTGGAAGAAATGAGGCTGGGCGCAGTGGCTCACGCCTGTAATCCTAGCACTCTGGGAGGCCTAGGCGGGCAGATTGTTTGAGCTCAGGAGTTCGAAACCAGCCTGAGCAAGAGCGAGACCCTGTCTCTACTAAAAAAATAGAAAGAAATTAATCGGACAACTAAAAATATATAGAAAAAAATTAGCCGGGCATGGTGGCGCATGCCTGTAGTCCCAGCTACTCGGGAGGCTGAGGCAGAAGGATTGCTTGAGCCCAGGAGTTTGAGGTTGCTGTGAGCTAGGCTGACGCCACGGCACTCACTCTAGCCAGGGCAACAGAGTGAGACTCTGCCTCAAAAAAAAAAAATAAATAAAAGATGTGGAAGAAATGATTAAAGCATGAAAGTAAAATCTTCAAAAAGAAAAATCAGGGTAATAATCAAAGGGGAACAAGGGCATTGAAGTTTGAAGAAACACTACAGATCAGGACTAAGATCGTCAGCTAGCTTATTTTGTGATAGTGAACAAAGCTAAACCAATTAACATCTGAATTTATAAATTCCAGTTCTAAATCTGGGCACAAATTTTCATATGCTTCATATTCAGTATCTCCAAGTGACAAATTCCTCTTGAAGCCAATATCGCAAATAAGTGCCATCTCAATCCAGCAGAACTATTTATAAAACACTTAATATAATAGCTGAATGTACAATGTGTAATGCAGCTGTGGTTCCCCCGATAGCAGCAGCAACTTCTGAAAAATCAGTTATCTACCATTAGGTCAACAGTTATTTGATACTCAATGGGACAGAGGGAAAACCATGGTTTTTGGAGCAAGGTCAATCTGGGTTGAAATTGTGACTTTGTCACATATTAGCCAAGTGACCTTGAGTAAGTCATGTATCTGAATGTTTCCTCATCTGTATAATGGGGAATATTACATACCTTATTGGGCTATAGTGAGGATTAAATGAGATAATGCAGTTTATGAAAAGTGCAAACAGTGCTGGGTGAAGAGTGGATCCCCTTAGAAATGGGCATATCCCGGTCAGGTGCACCGCTCTGGGCAGACGTGGAGAGTGAAGAATAGGGGACCATGGTGCTTTTTAGTTGGAGAAGTGATAATGAGAGGTGTCGGTTTGGTCATTAGTTAGCTCTGTAGGTTTAGCTGTGCTAAACCCAACCACCTGGGCATTTTCTCAGCTAACAGAATGTTTTTATGTGAATACGTGTTCATCGGTGAAATGTTTAATCTTAAAGGTTCATTCCAGCGCAAACATCTATGATTGTGTCTAGCACAGCCTCTGGCCAAATGCTGTTTACTTGATGAGTAAGCCTCCTGATACCACAAAGAAACAAGAAACTGACTTTATTAGCAATATGTCGGATGCTTTCCATCTGCATATTTCTTCGCTAGTTCTAACATTTGTGCTTTTTGGAGGGTGAAGAGTGAAAGGCACCAAATACCTCGGTTTCCAGGAGCGAGCCTCCCTTTCCCCCAGGTTGCTCCTGCCTAGCCTCTAATGCCCTGACTTTTTCCAATGTCACCTACGGCGCCCTTAGTCTCAGCTCAGCCAAAAACATCAGTGCAAGTCCACAGAGACTTAAGGAAGTAATCCAACTCCGGTTCGAGGAAAATCCAATCCGCAGTTTTTCCCTTGCTTTGGCTCTTCCCTGGTCTTACTATTCGCGCAGGGAGACGCCGGCCAGCCGGACTAGAGGCCGGAGAGAGCCCACCGGCGCCCATGGGGGCGGGGCCAGGGCGCAGGGGTCGGTGCAGGGGGCAAGAAGTCTCGATGCGTGCTGTTCCGCGCGGACGCCGTGGGACCACAACTCCCGGCGTGTCCCGCGGCCTGCGCCGAAAGCGGTTGGCTGGGAGCTCTAGCCAATCTGCCCTCATCGGCCAATGGGACGGAGGAGAGCAGCCTGACCAGGATCCTCAGAGACCAATGGCAGTACAGTGGAGGCGGGTGCTTCCTTACCACTCACCTTGCGCTCAGAGAAGCCACATTTAAAAGGTCGTGCCGAGCCGGGTTCTCGCAGGCTGTGAGAGCAGGGCCAGGGGGCGCGGAGGCTTCCCGGGAAAGCGACGCCAGGGCCATTCCGGTCCCCGTGAGGCGGTCTCCGGACGTCGCCGGGGGCGGGGCCGAGGGCGGGGCCTGGCCTCGTTGTGGAGCGGCTCGTAATCCATCATGGCGGCCGCGGGGGTCGGTGTCTGTCTCTGAGCAGCGCTGGAGCCGAAGCCGGTTCCCGCGTCCTGCAGCTGAGGAGCCCTTCCGTTGTCCACGGCCCCTACCAGCGAGGGCAGTCTTGGTCCCTCGGCGGAGCTCGGGAGATGTGACTGCTTGGCGGCGGTGGTGGTGGCAGCGTCCGGGGCCGGGGGAGGGGGTGTCTCGGACAGAGACCCCAGGGCTCGGGGAGGCTGAGGCGACCGGGCCTCCTCCCCCTGCGCCCGCCTTCCGCCTTCGGGACGAGAGTCTTTCGTCCTTTACAGCACCGCTCCGGCTCTGGGACACTGGGGGTGGTCTCTGTTTCCCCTAGACCTGGGACACCCCCGTTTCCTGAGGCGTGGAGGAGCGTCGCCCCCGGAGTAAGCCGCCCGTGCCCCTCCCCAAAGCCTTCCTCTTAGCCCAGAGCTACCCCTTGTCCCGGATCCCTGCCCCAAGTTTGGCCTGGAGCCCCCCATTCAAATTCCCTCCCTGCTCTCAGGTGGCCTCCCCTTCCCCCAGGTTGCTCCTGCCGAGCCTCTAATGCCCTGACTTTTTCCAATGTCACCTACGGCGCCCTTAGTCTCAGCTCAGCCCAAAACTTCAATGCAAAGGAAAAGTCTGGATTGGTTTCACAGGCCTTTTAAAAAGCGGACTTAAAAGTTGCTGGCAATGCATTCCTTTTCGTCAGAGTCGAGGGCAAGCCCTCGCTGAAATCTGGATGACCCGTGTCCTTTTCCGGAGAGCAGAGTAGAGAAGCAAGAGCGGCAGCTAGTTCAGCAGGAAATTTGTCGGAAGATGAAGAAACTAAGATAGGGGGTTGGTGACTTCCACAGGAAAAGTTCTGGAGGAGCATCCAAAGACGATTGACGTTTCCTTTATGTGTGGGATCAAAATGACTTTAGTACTGTGGACACTTGGCGTCATCCCTGTGAATATTTCTGTTTAGGTTTTTCTTCTTGGAAAGAAATTGTTACTCAGCCAAATCAGGAAACTTTTTCGGGTAGCATTGCAATTATATTACTTCAAATTGATAAACTGGGAAAATAATTGGAATTCCTGTTTACATGTGTCAACCTAAAAAAAACTGTGCTTTTGTTGTGGAAGATGTCTTTTTGTGATTGACCTCAATTTCTGAGTTGTGGAGATGCAGTGAATGTGAAATCCCACATATATACTGTTTTTTTTCTAAGCTAACTGACTTTCTGGAAGATCTTGAACCCTCTTCTGGAAAGGGGTGCCTATCGTTACTTTATGGGGCAGCAGCCTGGAAAAGTTCTTGGGGACCAAAGAAGGCCAAGTTTGCCTGCCCTACACTTTATTAAAGGAGCAGGGAAAAAGGAATCATCGAGGCATGGGGGTCCACACTGCAATGTTTTCGTGGAACATGGTGAGTGCTTTTCAAGTTTTCTAGTTGTGTTTTTCCTTATGCACGCAGCTTAGGCCGTCAAGGAACTTTTGAGCAATGGTACTTGTGTCAGTTCCTTACAATTCTACTTAAGACTTTTGTTAGGGTAGTTATTATCTCTTAGTTTCTGGTGGGACTTGATACAAGAAAAAGTTACTTTGTGACTCTGTATGGCTTTATTCATAATCTGTCCACGTTGCTTATTTCTAGTCTGATTCTGCTTCTAAGTCACTGTTGACCTTGGACAAGCCATTTTACTGTCCAGGGCCTCAGTTTCCTGAGGCAGATGGACATAAGTGCTTTCTTAGGATTCATCATTCTATGATTCTCCTTTAACTGAAGTTATAGGCTCTTTTCCTAATCTGCATGGATCCTTTACTACTTTGTCTACAGAGAGCTGTTATCATATTTTCAAAGTGGTTTGTGCTCCCCAAAAGGTTAAGAACCACATATTCTGGTTGACTCTAATATCCGTGACCTTTTCAATCATAAGTAGGACTTGGAAATACTCTGGAGCTCTGTGGGAAAAATCAAGTGGGGAAGCAGCATTCCCCATGAATGGAGGATACACAACTTCTAGTTATTTTACCTTCCATAAGGAGTAATCCTTTCCTCATTGGTGCAACTTTCCTCCTCCTCTCTCCCTGTTTAGAATGACATTTGGGGCATTAAAGGTTGTCTTTGACATTTTTATGAACATGTTTGGCATTTGAGTGCTGACAGTACATATTATATTGTTCACTTTCAGTAGTTCTGTGTGAAATTAAAGCTAAGGGTCCGCTCAGACTGATGTCTGTGACCAATTAATTAGGGTTCTGTTTGTACTGTTGCAGTCTGACGTATTTCAGACTGCATCCTTTCTATTAAAACCGCAGTCCCCAACCTCTAGGCTGTGGCCTAGTACCAGTCCGTGGCCTGTTAGGACTCTAGGACTCAGGCCATGCATTACAGCCTGATCTCTGCCTTCTCCCAGCTTCCGGACGCCCCGATTCCCTGTCCGTGGGAAAATTGTCTTCTGTGAAACCCGAGGCTGGTGCCAAGAAGGTTGGGGACTGCTGTAAATATCAATTGAGCCCACCCACCATATAAGCAAATGTATGGTATGTGCAAGTGGCATATGCTTTGAAATTCAACCACAAATACCTCTAAACAATGGGTGACTGCAATAGACAAAGGCTGCTATTGGATGAACTTGCATTTGACAGGTGAAGTTTTACTTTCCTACAGAAAAATACTCACCTCATGTCAATAAATCTGAGTACCTGGATTTTACTTTACCTTGAAACATTAGTTCTGTTTTTAGCATTGGTTTTAGGCAGGCAAATATGGTAACATGTTATGATACTTCCCAAATTCAGGATTTAAAAAATGAATTATTTACGTTTTAACTAGTGGTGATCATGCAGCTTTAGACAGGGAAAATTAGTACAGACTTTTCGGAGAGTTTTGGTAGAATTTAGAATTTGAAATGTACTTGCCAATGACCTAGTAATCCCACTTCTAGGAAACTGGGATAGAGCAGTGTATTTCCCAGGGTGTCCCTGATACCCCTTCAGGGGCTGAGAGGTTAAAACTATTTTCAATTAATACAATGTGAAGATCTATTTTCCTCTCTTACTGTGTTGTTATTTGCACTAATGGTGAAAAGTAAAGCGGGCATCTTAGCATGAATCAAGGCTGTGGCACCTAACTGTACTAAGTAGCCACTGTATTCTTCATGGTAAGTTCTCACAGTAAAAAAACAAAACAAAACCCTAGTTTTTACTAAAGAATGTTTTTGTTTTTGTTTTT